AGATCAGCCCCATTTTTCAGCTCTTCCAAATTTCTCTGGTCACCATTGGATGCTGGTGATTGTGACTGATGGATAAGGGTCACGATTTCTCCTGGCTGCACCATTTCTGGTGTGGTGGGTGCTGATGACATTGTCTTCTTGAATGAGGAAGACATTTTATCAGGAAAGATCTAGAAAGAGAGGGAGTTCTTTATGCAGAGAATAGAGGCATCAAGAACACAAAGGAAACAAGAGAAATTGCACACAATTGTAAGGTTGAAGATTGTATTGAAATAGTTATTGTAATTTTTGTTTCTGATTGTATCAATGTATTGAGGCGTTGGTTATGAAAAGTGAATAAAGAAGCCTGATCCCCTTCCTTCTCTTTTCTTAACATTTTTATCTACCCGTGCCATTAATTTATTTCAAAATGCCTAACAAGATAGTAGTGCCAAATCTTTTTTAATTTGAAGAATTCAATATCCACTAAAGTCCAAAAAAGAAAGATACAAATAAATAAAAAAACCAGCAAAGAGAGGCCGATGACTTCAAATAATTAACCACAATTAATTTATTCAATCCATTTTACCATTAGAACGATCCTTATCAATTCAACTAACCCTTGTTGGCGTTTTGCTCATTTTTTTTAAACTCTAGAGTTTCGGAATAATAAATTTCTGGTATACGTGCATGGTCAAATATATATCAGAATGAAGAGGGTTGATGCTGATCAATTAGGCAATATAAGTCCCATGCATGTCACTTCATTTATTTGTAAGCATAATATGTAATAAACATTTCAGATTTATAACAACTAACATGTTTTCTAAACATGTTCTGTACTTATTGAATTAATATTGCTGCATGGTCAAAACCGACTGAGAGCTATATAATCTAGTTAAGGATGAACAATGGGGTAAAGTTCATATCGAAAGTTACAACTCCCACCCATAACACGCCCACCTCGTTTCGCATCACAACAATTTGGTAATTTGCTTATTGTACCATCAAGACACTTCTTACAATTAGACCTAGAGAGGTCCCTCGTGCATTGAGTCAAAGCATATAGCGTTTCCGATGAACTGAGCTCTAGCTCACCAGTAGCATAAAACTTTGGATTAGAAGAAGCTTTAGTAGATAACCCGCATAACAATTCCTTAACTTTTGCATTGAATGGCTTGGGATCATCTACTTCTTGGACATTCCACATATAAAACCTGTTGTTGTTATCAACTTTCCCAGCAAAATTCACATTTGAGTACTTGAACAGGCAGTTGTCGTACCATATTATGGCTCCTTTTCTACTAGGCCAGCGCTCACCAAGCTCTTTGCTTGCTTCAATGACACAAGTCTTGCAATCTTGGCTTGAGACATCCCCACGACATAGGGCTAGCCCATTCGCTTGGTTTTGGCCTTTACCAGTTGATCCAAGGCCAAATCCAGTAGGAGGAACTTTTCTGTACAGAAGATTGAACAACTGAATCTAGTTAGCTTCATATGGGCTATGGGCAGTGTTTACACCATAATTAACCAAGCGTGACTAACACCAAGGTAGACATGCCTTCTTCCCTGCCAAAGGGAGATGCTCTTCCGTAGGGACAACCACCTGCCGAAGCTCCAAACTGCCAAACCTAAACACAAGAGACACGTGTCATCATCACAGCAACTTGCACAAAGTCCCACATCGGAACTTTGTGCAAACCTCCTACTTTTACTTCCCTATAAGTAGGGAACAGTAACCAAGAAAAAGGGGACTTCTTCTCTCTCACTATTATTATTACTTTGCGATAGTCACTACCCCTAGCTGACTCAGGCATCGAAGAGCCTTCGGCCGGCACCACACCGGTGTCCGAAGCTTAACGACTGCTTCTCCTATTTTTTGTCTTCTGCAGGCTAGCCCTTTACTAAAGGCCCAGACCCTTCACTTGCTAAAGACAAACCCTTATCTCTGAGTTGACCCTCTCCGAAAAAGAGCATCAACAGTTTGGCGCCGTCTGTGGGAATCCAATACTTAAAACCCATTTTTCTCTACCAGCCCAGCTGGGTCCTTCACCTATCCGGCCCCGTCGCCTCTTCTTCACTCCACACTCAGCCATGCCTACTGAGGATAGTCGGGATGCCCAGCGCGGTACCCCCCAGGAGGGTACCTCACAGAGGGGACCGTCGGCAGAGGTCAATCTCCAGGCCGAGGTGGAACTCCTCCGCGCCAGTGTCGTTAAGATGTCCGAGAGGTGTGACCATCTTCACTCCAAGAATGTTGAGCTGGAACACGACTACCGCATCCTGAAGCGAAACTGGGAAAGGAACCAAGCCCAGGGCTCCCAACGCAGCCTTACCCAGGAACCTGAGCGCACACAGCCAAACCAGCCGGAGCATTCCCACCATAGCCCTCCAATCCAGCCTAGGCCCAGCAAGGGTAAAGACCCCCTCCATCCGGAGATGACCAAGTCGTGGCTTCCCCGGCT